GCCACGTGGACCCGAAGGCCAAACCCGGGCTCAGGGCCAGGAGTCGTGGCTTCCGGGTCCCAGGACACTCCCTTGGGGGCGTCTCGTGACCGCATGCGGTGGGGAGCGCGTGACCCTGGCTCCAGGGCCGAAGGGGACCCGCTGGCCCTCACAGAGCACTGTATCAGGCACTGCCATAGCTACTGCCCTACTGATGAACGAGAAGACGGTCCCTACCGTCCGTGTCAGGGGGGTGACCTAGAAATCAAATACTTACAGAAATAAGGATTTCCATCATAGTTGTGATGCTGCGAAGAAGTGCAAGGGTAAGACTTACAAAGGAAGTGACTTTTAACCTGAAACTCAGAGATGAATAGGAATTGACTAGAAGAGGGAAAGGAAGAGCCTTCCAGAGAGAAGAAATGCATTTATGAAGGCCCTGGGAAGGCAGAGAGCTTGCAGATTTGAGGAACAGGCTAGGAGGTTCGAGGAGGGATGGGGCCATGTGAGCCCAGGCCGGCCGTGGGGCAGGGCTGGCGGACACGTTAAAGGCTGTCCATTGGCAGCAGCAGCAACATGACAGGAGCTGTCATTTTGTCAGAAGTTTCCAACCAGAGCGACTCCATCTTGAACAGGGGCTGCGTAAAATGAGACAGAGACCTGCTGGGCTGAATTCCTGGGAGGTTAGGCCTTCCTCCTCACAGGATGAGACAGGAGGCCAGCACAAGGTAAAAGGTCACAAGACCCCGCTGATAAAACGGAATGCAGCAAAGAAACCGGTCAAAACCTGCCAAAACCAAGACAATCAGGAAGGTGACCTCTGGTCGTCCTTGCTGCTCATTATACGCTAATTATAATGCATTAGCATGCTAAAGACACTCCCAGCAGCACCAGGCGGTTTACAAATGCCATGGCAACATCCAGAAGTTACCCTATATGGTCTAAGTAGTGGAGGAACCCTCAGTTGGGGAGGAATCCCCACCCCTCTTCTGGAAAACTTATTACTAACCCACCCCTTGTTTATCATATAATCAAGAAATAACCATAAAAATAGCCAACCTTAGGCCAGGAGCGGTGGCTTATGCCTGTAATCCCAGCACTCTGGGAGGCTGAGGCTTGCAGATCACCTGAAGTCAGGGGTTTGAGACCAGCCTGGCCGACATACAGTGAAAACGCATCTGTACTAAAAATACAAAAGTTAGCCAGACATGGTGGCACACTCCTGTGGTCCCCGCTACTTGGGAAGCTGAGGCAGGAGAATCGCTTGAATGCTGGAGGTGTAGGTTGCAGTGAGCCAAGATTGCGCCATTGCATTCCAGCCTGGATGACAGAGCAAGACTCCATCTCAAAAAAGAAAAAAGAAAAAAGGTTGAAAGAGGCCTGGAATCAGATGCTGGCTTTAGATACTAGGAAAGTATGATTTTTTTTTTTTTTTTTTTTT